ATACATACATAACACATATACACACATGTACCTATTAATAATGTTTAATAGTTACTTTATGATTTCTTAACTAGTTAACTAACACTTGTTATAATGTAAGATGAGCTCCACTTTAACACTAGATTATATGTATAATGAGACCAGCGCTGTTGGATTCATAATGATAATTACGTTTCTTTGTTTTGATATTTTATATATATTTAATTGTGAATCTGTTTGTGGTTCTTTAAATAAATGAAAAAAAAAAAAGAATAGAGAGCGCGCGTGTACACTTTGACAGTGTTAGATTAGAACATTATTGTATGAGCAAAATTTTTATTTTTGTTTTTTTGTGCTTCCATCTATATTCCGAAATGCTAGGCTAGACGAATTTTAATCTCACAAGAGGGTACGCTTATATATTAAGTCTATGCATACGCAATAATCCATGAGCACCTAGTATATATGTCGCAGGCTTATTGTATAATTCGCCGTATTACATTATGGCTAGCCATTTTACAAAACAGAGCCGTTTCGTATTACGGCTGGCGAACGATAAGCCAAATTGGCGTATTGCAACACAACGGCCGACGTTCAGTCATATTGTATGTTCAATTTGCATTATAGGGTGACCATGCCAACCAAAAATAAAAACTGATTTTAGTTCAAAACAATTTAATATGTAAAAAGGACTTAAAACTTCACATGATAAACATATACGTGATAAACATTTCCTTGTTTTAAAATATGCTCGACCAAAACTTGCATTTTAGGGTTCAGGGGAAGCCCTGGGTACCCTTCCCTCGTTGCGGAAATGTATGAGGAAATGTTTATGAGTAATAATATTTTTTTTGTAAAATCATAACCTTACTTTTTACACAGGAATATTGACACAAAGTTACTTCTGCAACGGCTTCAGCGTTTTGCTTAAGTTCCTCATTAAGCAAGGAAAATGCCAAATATCATAATGGAAGAGATGTCATCTATTTACGGGAACTCTTGCCCTAGAAAAACATGAGAATATAAGTGACATAGCCTTTTCAAGCAAGACTCAATTCAACCAGCCTCAGCCGCTACGGCTCACATAGATGCCTGCAATTTGCTACAGCGGGCGGTGGCTGCTCTCCCTCTGCGGCTACGACTTTACAAAAACACTCTAGGGGTAGGGCAGACAAGACTACGTGGAGTCGGGGCGTTCTGATTCGGTTTTAATACAGATTCGACCTATCTTATCTATAAAGTCTTTATTTTTTTTTATGGTTGACTCGTTCCGATTTTTTTGGACCAATAATATTATGTAGAATTCCGTCGAACACCAGACTCCATGGCCACATTACTGGTTTTAATGTGCATTACAACCTCAAAAACACGGTCTTTTGTCCACGGCTTTCTAAGTCACCTTACTGATTTGAGTAAAAATTATTTAAATATTCATTGAACCTGTCCTTAAAATCACTTGTTTCATACATATTTCACTTATTTTATTTGAAAAGTATTAAAATTTTCACTTTTTAGCCCCGTAAATTCTGCTTTTCACCCAGCTGTTGTTGTTATGGTAGATAGCGAACTGAGCGTTAAAAATTGTTGATAGCGACGCGCCTGAATACATTACGGCTAGCCGTGTCGGCAGACGCGAAGCGCCGAACCCAAAGCGGTGGGAATTCATTAAGACGTAATACAATTTGGACAGCCGTAATACAAAACGGCTCTCTTTTGTAAAACGGCTAGCCATAATGTAATACGGCGAATCATACAACTAGGCTGCAACATATATACAGTAATCTATTGTGTTAGATTGTCGAAAACCAAGGTCGAAAACAACGTTTACGTCACTGTGTCACTGTTTGCAAAACAAAAAACTAGTCTTCTAGGCCGCTCGCAGTCGACTAAAGGATGTACAGAGAATTGACCGTAACCTAGTGCGCAATATATTAAGGCAGCAGAGCTCGTCTTGTAGTATACACAGAAGTCTTTGATTCGAACACATGTACAGATACAGAGTACCTACTTTGTATTACTGATTAAAAGTCACATAATATCCCAAATAGAACAGAAATTCTACATTGCCTTCTATGTGTATGTATGCAGTAGTATGTTATTTGTGTTTTATTAACTGAGACCAAAAACGAAGAAAGACGGAACATTTTCACTGTCGAAAAACTATACTCAACTTGTTGACAAGCAATTTCGCACATATTATCTTTTATGTACGGGGTAGAGCCATCCTGCAGCTATACTACAGTGTAACTACTCTTAGGTTTTGGCTATACTATGTTTGCAGTACGAATATATGTCGACTTTACCACGCTCTCAAAAGCAACCAGCTTTAAATAACAGCTCAATGCTGCTGTGTTTCGTGTGGTGAGTGTAGAGAACCGGAGATCTTTTTACTGAATACGAGGCATCCATCCATCTTGATCGTCCTTGTAGAGTTCACAGATAAAGCCTATTATCACATAACTGTAATAAAAACCTTTTTTTATTGCCCACCAAATTATATAACACTACAATTGTTGTGTGATGTCAAAGCCTAATGACGTCCTACTCCTGGGCACAGGGCACTAAAACCCTCTCATGTCTGAAAGGGTTTTAGTGCAAGGAAATGTCCACCGCGCTGCCTCAATGCATGATGGCGGACTTCACATGTCTTCAATTTTTTTTAAATATCTCAGACATGCAGGTTTCCTCACGATGTTTTCCTTTACTGTCGAGCATGTGGTAAATCAGCAATTAAAACTGCAATTAACAATTTCATTAGTACCGGCGAAGATTGAACCGGTTTGCACACGTATGGTATTTACGGAGAGCGATAGCTTCTTACATCTACTGTAAATTTATAATTAACGTTCAGCTACCTCGGCACTCTCCATCCACTATTACCACCTATTAAAAGCCCACTGCTGAACACAGACCTTTCGGATAGATTGCCTCATATATGCCACCATAGTTGACACGCTTGACAAACGGGTTGACAACAGCAGTTTGTTTAATTTATTTTTAGTTTTATCAGGAAGATGGTGCTTCATTAGCCTATCTATTTTTTTTATAGGAACATGCGGCTCACCTGATAGTAAGTGTCTACCGCCGCCCATGAACAACTGCAACACCAGGGAAATTGCAGATACGTTGCCGACCTTTTAAAAATGATTAGGCTCTTTTATTATATAATTATCTCCTGATTTATTTTCCTCTGTCGTCTCTTATCATTCTGAAGACACCAACAGGATGATATGGGGTAAAAGTAGAGGATTCACTCAACTATACGGTACTCTTTTAGACCCTTAATATACTACTATTCTACTTCCTACTAATATTATAAACGTGAAAATTTATGAGGATGTATGGATGTTTGTTACTCTACTACTATGGAAAAACTACTGAATGTATTTTAATAAAACTTTACAATAATAAAGCTACGCTAGCTACACTAGAACAACACATAGGCTATAATTAATAAAGATATTGTGTAAATTGGTCAAAATATAACGATAAGTGATGAGAAAGTCGGAAAAAAACTCTGTCATCTGCGAGTTATTTTAGCGTGCGCTGCAAAAACTGTAAAGACAGAGAAAAACTGGTCCCACGTACGCAACGCATTATGACATTTAAACGCTTGATTTTGTATGGAAAACTATACATTAGAAACTAACTTATCGTATCCAACGCAGTTACACGTGTCCGACGCAACGTCGATCTGCGATTGTTAGATCGGCGTGGGAAGGTAGGAAGGTGGAGGGGATGTTCCAGTCAAGGGAAGATGCAATCCTACTCCTACGCGTACGACCAGTGATCACCAGTGTGATGAGTTCCTAGAACTTACGCGTAACGCGACGTAAACAAATAGAGCTTTGCACTGTGCACGCGTTTTGTTGTCAAAATTTAAGTTGAACAGCTCATCGATTTAGTAAGGCGATACGAATGTATTTATAATATTAAATATATAGCATATTGCGATGCTAAATTACGATATACAGTATGGGAAGAGATAAATGGTATACCTAGTGAGTACCTATCCACCTACTGCCGTCATTTTTGTTATTAACGTGAAAGGGAGAGGTCGAAACGCGAAATAAAAAAAGTAGTTTTTTGTATTTCTATTCTAGTTATGTTAATTGTTAATATATTATGAAACATGATTTTATAAATTTTAACAGAAGTACTAGATACCTAAACGTTTTCTTTGTGGCGTGGATATAATCATTTACGAACGTCTGACTTGATCATACTAAGTAAACTCAATCTCGGAAATCGAAAATATGGTATAAATTTGTACTTGTGTGTCCGCTAAAAAGTTACAAGTGTCTGACGCCAAACGTATCTACGTTACATACGTAGATCAAGTGTGTACACCAACGTGGGAGCATTGCATCGCATACGTTGCGTTCGTGGCATCAGTCTGTCCCTCCCATTAGAGTTACAATTATAATGTATGGTATAATTGTTTCTCCTAAATAGTTCTACACGGTACGGTTCCGCGACGGTATATATCTATCTTTTATGTGTAAGCAATTATTACCAAAATAGTGAACCATAAATACAATAAAATTTGATACCTACTTTATTTCCAATGCAAATTTTGTAGTAACTAATTGTTTTTATCAAAATAAATACTTTAATCGCTTCTGATATTCAAAGTAGATAATCTTTGTCTTTTAAACTACGTAATTAGGTCAAATATTTTAAAAGCAGCGACGATATAAAATTGTGCGGTCCGGCGCGCGCAGGTCGATCGGGCGTACTGCGGGAAAACATCGCCGCTTGAGCAAATGTACCTCTTCACGCTTAAACCGCTGAACTGATTTAGATAAAATTTGGTATCGAGATAGTTTACGTCCCGGGGAAGGAAATAGCTTTGATCACGGAAATCATCCCTAAAGAGGGTGATGGAATTTACTAAGAAAGTGCGATTATTGATGGCTTAAAGTACAATATCTACGCGGACGAAGTCGCGGGCAAAAGCTAGTAAATTAAAAATGATTATAAGCAAATTTTATTTTAGACATTCAATAAAACAATTTTTTAGAAAATGAACACTTTATTTCAAAACACTAATTTACATGAAGGTTTTTGGTTGTACGATCACAGTATTATTACCATTAAAAATAAATGCACATTTCAATAGTAACTTACTACCATCCAAATGAATTGTTATAATTTTTAGAGAAGTAAATGAAATATACTACGCTAAAAGAATCTCTTGGCAGTGATATATACTACATTGTTACCAACATTATTGTAAACATGTTAATAATTTTTAATTACAAAGTATTGCATTTTACTTTTTAAATGGTTACAACTTAGAATATTCTACAAAATCGTCGTACAAAACTTATTAATTAATAAAAATATCTTATCAATATACAATTACATCTAAAATCTCAGATTTTATTATGAATGACAAAAGCTGTTATTTTATAGTAATTCTTTTTAAGTATTTCATAATTATTTGATATTTTGTACAAGATGAATTTATGAGGCTGCATCGGTAAGCTCGTCGCAGCGGTCTTCTAACTCGTACTGTAAAAAAAAATATGAAATTAAAGACCAAAGAGTAGATATTATATGTGTAAGAAATTGATTTTAACATAAGTATGGGGTGTAGTTATATTCGTGTTAATTGTCGAAGTGACGTAGGGTATATGTTTTTTCTCTTTTCAGTGAACTTTTTACGCAGTCAGTTGTTTTTTAATTACTGTTTTAATAAATAATTGGGCTTGTTAATTAATTATACATCGGAAATGAACCAAATTAGGAGTACCTACTCTTAACCGACGAGCATGTTTGCGTTGATATATTATTGATGTGAAAGAAGCGAGAAGTGTGTCAGGTTCGTGCCAAATGGAAGTCCGTTGTCTCTGTCTACACCACGTGAGTGACAAGTGCGAGTTTTTTTAATTATTAGAGGAAAAACAATTAAAAAAAGGTAGCTTGCAGTAGTTTTAATGATCGTTATATTGACGAAGAAAGTTTTATCCTAAGGATCGAACAGTTTAATTATGATAAACGAAAAGCTACCATTTTTACCCGACTGCCCTAGAAAGAGGGTAATGTTTTTCGAGTGTATGTATGTATGTTTATTTCTTTGGTACACTCTGTAGCCTAAATAGTTTGATAGATTTTAACATATGAGGTGTCGTTAGTTTAGTCTTAATTGTAGGAGTTATATAGGGTATAATTTTTTTCTCTTTTCAGTAAACTTTTTACGCAGTGGTTTTTTTTATTACTGTTTTAACATCAAAGGTTGTTTTAGGAAATTTTACGTTACTGTTTTTGCATTTACCATTTAAACCGTTTACACTTGGAAAGACTTATTTGGAAGACATATTTCACAAAGGAATCGTTAGGTACCTCATCGAGCTGCAGGCACTTGCCCCACTCTGCGAGCGTGATGCGGTGGTCGTTGTCCTCGTCGCAGAGATCCAGGAACGGTCCGATGCAGTGTTCCAGGGCCATCAGCGGCGCCCGGATTGGGAACAACTCGTGGCGGGACACGAACCTGGTAGAAATAGATTTTAGTTATGAGATGCGTACCTATTATTATGTCCTATTACGTCTCGTAAGTTTTTTTTTATAGAATAAGAGTAACAAACAAGTACACAATTCACCTGATGGTAAGCGGATGCTGTGGCCACATAGATATCAAAATGCAGATGCGTTGTTACCCCTGAGGACTAAGATGGAATGCCTTATGAGCGTTATCGTTCCCCTGTGGAAGCGACCCACCCATTCGTGATAAAACCACAATATAGTTGTAGCATGGCTCTACCATGTGTGAAATTATGGAGGTCGTAAGGAACGAGTGAGGAGTGGTGGAGACTGACCGGTCGTTGTCGTGCGCGTCCAGGTCGCACCACTTCCAGATGGCGGCGTTGGTCCAGCGGCGCGTGAGGTTGGACTCGGCCTCGCGCTCCATGCGCAGGAAGTGCTCGGACAGCTCGCGGCGCTCCGCCATGTCGCGCATGATGTTGAACAGCCAGTCGCGCATGCGCCGCGGGAAGTCCGACATCTCGCTCTCCGTGCACGGCTGCGCCACACACATACACACACACCATGTACATACACTGTTTTTTTATAGAGTAAGCGTGACAAACGAGCACACAGTGGTAAGTGTCTACTACGGTCCATGAACATAAACATACAGCATACACACATATACCATGCTGGTCAGACGACTAAAGGCTCTACCCCACAATTGTGGTATAAACCTACAGCATACACACATATATACCACGCTGGTCAGACGACTAAAGGCGCTACCTCACAATTGTGATATAAACATACAGCATACACACATACTCATCACGCTGGTCAGACGACTAATAGCTCTACCACACAACAGATATAAACATACAGCATACACCCATGTTCACCACGCTGTATCAACGACTAAATCACAACTGTGATATAAACATACAGCTTATATCTATATTCACCACGTTGGTTAGACGACTAAAGGCTCTACTACACTACTGTCATATCAAAATACAGCACACACCCATATTCACCACGCTGGTCAGACGACTAAAGGCTCTACCACACAATTGTGATATAAACATACAGCATACACACATACTCATCACGCTGGTCAGATGACTAAAGTCTCTACCACGCAACTGAGATATAAACATACAACATACACCCATATTCACCACGCTGTATCAACGACTAAATCACAACTGTGATATAAACATTCAGCATACATCTATATTCACCATGCTGGTCAGACGGCTAAAGGCTCTACCACACACTTGTGATATAAACATACAACATACACATATACTCATCACGTTAGTCAGATACTAAAGGCTCTAGCACACAATTGTGATATAAACATACAGCATACACACATATACCACGCTTTTTATTATTTTCATTCGTTTTATAAAAAAAATATTATTTTTTCCCATAAAGACTTTTGATAGGGTCTAATGAAAGAATAAAAAAATTCAAGATTTTGTATAGTCATCTTTAAATATTATATATACCCTGACGTATTTTTAGAATGAATGATATGTAACTGTGCACTGAAAATGTTGGTGAAATTAGTACGTGTTTTATATGTTGTCGTATTATAACGGAGAAAGAGAATTTATCGCCACATATTTTGTTTTATTAATTTTGTGGCTAAATCAATAACAAATGAGTGTGTGTGTGTGTGTGATTATTAATATTCGAATATTTTGCGTCCGTCGTTACCTTCTTTTTTTCCCAACTTAATATTAAGGTGTTAAAATCTTAGGTAAAAGTGTGATAAAACGATCGTAACATGTATATGTTATGGACCAAAACATTAATAGGGCATTATTCATAATGTCCAGACAGTTTGAAAAAAGCCTAATAATTAAATTGACTGGGCTTTATGAATTGCTTGGCTTTATAAAGTCCGTTACTTATTGGGCAGAGTAATGAAAAGATAAATTAGATTAGGTAGTCACCAGACTTTGTGATATTATACATAATAAAATTTAAATCAGTATTAATTACGTAGTATGACTTGAATGACACTATTCACATTGCCTGGGCATTAGGTATAAATTGTTAGACTTACCTACTATATACCGTGTAGTGAGGTAAGTACCGTGTAGTAAGTATATTCACTACCCCATATCATACCGTGGGTGTCGTCAGAGGCGACAGAGGGATACAAATCAGGAGATGGACAGCAAAGTCTTCCTATAGACTAAAAATAAAAACTGCGGTTAAGGATAACGGTATAAGTAGTGGCCTGATTAATTACTTAGTCCATTATCATATATATTTGGAACGGAGAGGGTGCAAGTGTTGGGGTATCGGTACGCACGGGCATCTCGCGGCAGGCGCCGTAGTAGTCGATCTGCACGTGGTGGTACTGCGGCCCGCGGCACAGCTCCGAGTTGTCCAGGCACAGGCAGCGCTGCCGGTACACCTCGCAGTCCGACGACCACGTCTCGTTGTGGTGAGTGCACACCTGCCCGACACCATTACACCTCATTATTGACGGTTTACAATTAATCAGCACAATGTTTTAACTCTTAACATGATTCGTTAATACTAAGATGGTATAATTTCTTAGCAACAAGGTCTAGTAGTCTAGCAAGTGAGTCTAGTATCATGTGATCCTAAGTTCAAATCCCAAGTCAGGCCAAAATAAGTTAGCATTATTAATTTTATTAGTGTCCGACCGAAGTTTTGGCTTCGATCATCTTCGATAAAACAAAACAACTTATTCGAAATATTCGCCTTCGGGCAAAATTTCAAACCCGTTTTGGTTTATAGCAAACGCCGAAATTGAACAAATTGATAACGTCGGGAGCGCTACTCCTGAGCGCCCGCAGCCTACGCACACTAACACAATGTGTATGTATGTGCACAGTTAACACAACCAAAGTCAAAACTTCACAACACAATGTACGTGGCGACGTCGTGTAGACGTTTAGAGATGATTAAAATTAGTTTTTATATTATACAGTGAATATGATAAACCTAACTTGAAAGTTTCAAAATGATTTATATTATTAATTTAAGCCAATTTTGAACTGAATTTTTAGGGTTTTTTGCCTTCGGCTTCGGCTCTAGCTTCGGTCCGAAATCGACTTTCGGTTGGACACTATTATTTATGCACATAATGTATTCATACCTTGCGGCGAGAGTCGGTCTCGTACGGGCACTCCTTGATACAGTTACAGACTGCGTCTCCGTGTTCGTCGATTTCACACACGCGTCCCGCACTACAGTGCACTTTCAGGCAAGGGTCTGTGGACAAACAGAAATACACGAGGTAGAGCCATATATTACGGTTCCAGCACGAATCGGTCGCCTCGATCGAGGTACCACGCTCTCAAAGAATACCAGCATCAAATAGCAGCTTAACTTCTGTCACACTTATTCTATTAAAAAAGTCAACTAAGTAGGATATATTAGGGCTATATCGCTAACCAAAACTTAAAGTACATAATTTTAAGGAAGACATACATATGTTATACTCTTAACCGAAGCACAGTCATGTGTATCACCTTTAAATTTACAACAGAAGATCTCTGCGATGACACTTATTTTTTTAACAACTACGTGATAAGCCTTCTTTTCTGCCCAGCACTCAAACTGGTTGGGTAACTGTCTCCCTCTTGCTTATTTATACTGCTAAGCAGCAATGCGTGCACTGCTGTGTTCCAGTTCAAAAGAAACCAGTATAAGGCTGTAAGGCATTCCATCCGAGTCCTCAGAGGTGACTGTTAACTCATCTGTAACCTTTAAAGTTAGTTACAGGTGTTCATGTAACTGGTACTTTTTACAGAAGTGCGGGCAAACGAGCATGCGACTCACTTGATGGTAAGTGTCGACCGCCGTCCGTGACTAACTGCAAGACCACGGGACTTGACGGTGCGTTGCCGGCCTTTTAAAAAGGAGTAAGCTCGCTTCTTGAAGGTCCTTAAGTTGTATCGGTCCGAAAAAATCGCCAGTGCTAAACGATTCCACAGAGAAGTTGAGTGAAGAAGACTATTCTTAGTAAATCGCATAGTGGCTCACCGCCAAGCATCAAGATAGTATGTACGGTATCGGGAATTTTGTCGCGATGTGCGTTGGTAGAATTTGGCGGCTGGAATTAATCTGAATAATTCCCCTGAGCCCTCCCCGTGGTAAATGCGATAAGAAATTCAAAGGGAAAATAATTTAGATATTCAAAGGGAGATAGAGTGAGTATCTCTTATTTTTTTAAAACTACTTATATTTTGTGTATATACATAACATTTTCATTAATGTGTATTATTAAGAGTTTCTATCAGAAAGATGCTGCAGTCCTATCTTTTGTTTCATTTCCATTTATACTCTGTTACAACACCGACGTGGCCATATCAAGTAATGGGTGCGCTTATTACCTAATTTTAATAAAAACTTACCATCAATAAACATATCGTTGTCAGAGTTCCCTTCATTTGAGTTTTCATTGAGTATTTCATTAACTCGCGCCTTTTCTGCTTCCTGTAATGAAAATATAATTTAATATAAAGTTGGAACTACGAAGAACCCCGACATCCCGTGGGGAAGAGCATGAAGCAAATACTAAGAGGAGACGGCATAAGCAACTGTGCACTGTGATTCTAAGTAGGTCCTGACGTCATCATAGTGGGCGTGGCTTTAGTTAGTATACTGTCAGCATTCGTCCTGAGCGCTCATGTGTTGAAAAAATCGCAAATCGGTGTATTTTCGTAGTATTAAGAAGAAAAGGATGAAGTGTTGTGTTTTATCGTGTATAAACTACTCAGATAGACATTTGTAAATAATTTTACACTTAAGTTATTAAAATAGTTCTAAAAAAATCTCTTTGCGTCGGCTTTCAAATATAATTAAATATATTCGACACTAGATGGCGACACTTTGTGTCATGTGAACTAAAAATATAAAGGTACGTAGAGCTCAGTAATGATAAAATAACCATATGAAGGTGTTGAAATTTGTTTTGCATTCAGACATAAATAAATTTTAATCGTCAAAATATTATTTTTATAGTTTATAACATTTTGTGGACAGGCCGCCATCTACCATCAAGGTAGCTAAACTACATTGCAACATCGATATGGAACGATTCGAGTAGTTTTACTATTTATCGGTAGATGTAGATAGTGTAAAGTGGACGGGGCTTTGCATCCCCTCACCCCGCAAATTGTCACGCGTTATTACTTAGTGATATTTAATTATGTCTCCTCTTTGTATTTGCTTCATGGGGAAGAGTTCGCCAGTGGCAGTCTAATAGATGGATGCAGGTGGTTTAGGATTTCTTGACGTTGACTTTGATAATTATTATAATAATAAACATATTTAATAATTCCTGCTTAGATATGGTTTTTAGTCTCTTGTTTTGTTGACGATGGCATAGCTAAGTGTACAATGAGGGCTAATAACCTTTCGCTCACTAGATGTCGCTAGTTGGGACTAAGGTGGACTTATCATCATCATTGAAACGTTGCATTTTAATTATAAGTTTATCTAAACTTGTTCTCAAAACAATGCCTCTATTTCTTATCTAATTAATATTAAATATAACTAATATTTCAAAAACAATAATTAATCTCTACAGTTTTCTAATAAATTAACTTCTTATGAAATCTGCTAAATGTTTCACCTCATACCAAAGTGGCGCCGCCCTGGTGGCAGAAATCATGGATTATATAACATATAAAGGATTAAAATCATAACCTACTAGCTTTAACGCTAGAGTCATTCCCACAAAAAAAGGAAAGCGTCAATGGAATTCGTAACCGATTGTCCGTACATGCAGGTCTGTTCACGCTAGAATTTATACAATGCCAAATATATTTATTTGACGAATCAGGGGCGCAGTAACTAAGCATTTATAATAGGTCAGGCACTGAACCACCACGGGTTCGAATTCCGCACGGAGCAAGTGTTTCCATGGCCTACAAACTACCAATTGTTTCTGTTCTGGATGTTTATTCATGTGCAATTTATGTATGTGAACCGCCTTCAAGACAGGAAAAATCCTAGTGCGGCGTAAGTTTTTTCAAATAAATAAATATATAGATAAATATAAATAAAACCTAAATGTCTATCTATAATATCGAACTCGATCGAGCACACAGTCCACTTGAAAGTAAGTGGATACTGTGGCCCATAGACATTTACATTTATCCTCAATTAAGAATCAAAATTCAGATACGTTGTCACCCCTGAGGACTAAAATGGAATGCCTCATTTCCTTTAAAAAGGGTCTCCGGTTCTCTACACTCGCCATACGAAACACAGCAGCATTAAGCTGCTAATTTACGCTGGTATTCTGTGAGTCGATACATTCATCCTTCAATCACAAAATACCTCCAGCTTGGCTTTACCACGTCTTAAATAAAACACTGAAATCACCTGGAAGCGGCGTTCGTCCATGCGCTCAGCCATGCCCAGCTCCAGATGTTCGGCCTCAGCGTCTTCTCGTGGCGGCTGCGGCCGGCGCGGGGCCTCCGTGGTGGTGGTGCGCAGGCGACGGTGCCGCCGACGGTGTCTCTATTAATGTGCAATACCAACACTCTCAGTGTCTTATGATTTCTTATGTTTACGCGACCACTACACACTTAAACTAAACCAGTTTTTACGGATTTAATCGCGTATATTACCTTTTTTTATAATCCCATTCAATAGAGCAGATGGCTGGGATGGATAGCATTCAATAGAAAAGATGTGTGGCGGCGCTGTCGTCGCGCCACAAGCGAAACACATCGAAGCCTAAATCGCGCTATCAAAGTTCCTAAATTAAAGCAGTATCTATAGAATAGCTCCGAACTACCACTCAGAGCGTTGGCCGCTCCCCGGGCAGAACACCTTGCCCGGCGGGAGATCTCTCCTTTTCCTTTCTCGGCCACAGATGGAACCTTTTGCTTGGGATCCTATAATTAATAAAACAACACCAACAACCCAAGCATACAACTGCAATAGTTCAAGATCCTGCGTAGATCGGATCAGACCAAAAATTTATAATTTTAAGCTGAATTAGCCGTGATTAACTATGACATTAAAACTAAAACATCCAGGGACCCACTCAAACTTGACCTAAACATTTCATCAAAACCAGTCCAGCCGTTTACGAGGAATTCAGTGACAAATACATGTACAGAAGAATTATAATATAATTATCTTAGTGCGGGATGAAGCCTTAGATGATAAATCGCGCTGGCTTAGCATAGCAAAGCAAATTTAAGGTAAGAACCTTGAACACTCCCGGATTGTAATCAGATGGAAAGACAGACAAATGGCCGGCAAATGATTGTACTCCTTTGCTGCAGACATGACAAAAGAAGAATCAAACCGTTTAATACAAATGCATGGATTAACGTTATCAAAGGGCTTTATGCCTACCGACCACTTGGATGTCCGACGGTGGGAAGGGGGTTTGAGAATCCGGCGTATTTTTGCATTCAATTCCTCGTCCCCCCCCCCCCCCCCCCCCTCCTAACCACGTGTGCTGTAAAGTACTCGAAACGTCGGGCATATAAAATAAGCTAATAATATACGCGGCAAAATTCGTAAAAACTAGTTACAGTACATGGTGTTTTCTGGCTTACCTCGGCGTCGGCAGTGCACACAACCGCCACCATTAGTACCAGGAACAGCAGGCGTCCCCTCATTTTCCTTTAACTCTGCAACAAAAGACATAAATTTAAGTAGAAACAAAAACATTGAAAGACATTGAAAAAAATCTAATTTTATATACCTACTTACGCCTAGATACGCCTCGGGGTAAATTTCTAAAATTTCCTCGAGAAAATATTCGGGGAAATGTTATCCATCTAGTGGGGGACCGTCCTACACTTCTATATAGGTACAAGGTTGCCACTCGAGAATCTTTCTTTCCCATCAGTTGTCTGTTCTTCGAGCTATGTATATAGCTGGCTTATTGCCGGCCATATAGATGAACCGTTTGTAAAGATAATGAACAAGAAAGAAGAAAATAATAATTGAGTATTAAAAAAAAATTTACAACGTTAACAAAAAAAAAATCCTATACTTTCATTACATATTTCCTTCTCACAGAATACCAGGGCAAAATAGTTGATTATATGGTGAGTGTAGAGAACCGCAGACCCTTTTTGCTGGAAAAGAGGCATTCCATCTTAGTCCTCACGGGTGAAAACGCATCTACATTTTGATTCGTAATCGAGGATAGATGTGAATGTCTGTGGGTCACACACAACAGCCACTTACCATCAGGTGGACTGTGTGCTCGTTTGTCACCCTTATTCTATAAAAAAATAGATGCTATGCAATGCACTCGAAGCTCTGGGATTTTTAAAAGTTAAATGCGATGAAAACGCTTAATTCAAAAAAACACGATCGTCGTTGAAACCGTTTTATATTTAAACGTAAATTTGACCTATATTACAGTGAACCATGCCAAAAGTAAAAAAATGCAGACTCAAACGCTTATAAAAAAAGTAGAATATATAAACAATAAAGTACCTGTGTAACCTGAGTTTTCTGATTACATTGATAGCACAAGTCGATATGTGATACAACACTCAAATGGCGTTTCAATGAATATGACAGAGTTTATATTATTGACGCAGGCAGCAGGTATGAATTTATAAACAAATAACATCTCGGATTCTAGTCTCAATTGAAAATAACATTGTTATGTGTTACGAATTACAAAGATCAGTATAATTTAAAAAATAATGAACCCTTGCATTGTTCTGTAACGTAGAGCTTAGTATAAACGTGGTGCAGCTATATTATGGTTGTAGGTTGTAGCACGAATGGGTCTGCTCGACCGGGGAAGGACCACACTCTCACAGAATACCAGTGTAAAATTGCATCTCAAAGACGCAGTGTTTCGTATGGTGAGTGTAGAGAACCGGAGATCCTAGGCCTCAAGGGTGACAACACGTCTGCATTTTGATTCTTAATCGAGGATAAATGTAGATGTCTATGGGCCACAGCATCCACTTACCATTGGGTGGACTGTGAGCTCGTTTGTCACCTTTTTTCTATAACTGCATTCACCATACGGAACACTATTGAGCTGCTATTTTACGCTGGCATTCTGCGAGAGCGTGGTCCTACCCTGGTCGGGCCGACCCATAAGCTATAGAGAGCCAGTATAACCACGTCATTATTTTGTCAACGGTGCGGCAGGTACGCAGTGCTCACGCGACATCGACTTTCCCATTTTTGTCTGTCTGTTCATATTTCTGTCAGTATGTCTGTCTGTTTGTTCCGACTAATCTCCGCCATTCACACACAATCCAAGCCATTTGCTTGATTGATTTTGACGGTACTTTCCCTTGCAGATAGCTGATGTTGTAAGGAGTAAAATTTATGCTACTTTAATTTTAGAAAAATAATTAAAACCCATGAAATCACCAATCGTAATAAATTAACGCGAACAAAGTCGCGGGGAACAGATAATTTTCAAATATAAGCAAGCTATGCATTTATATAGTCTAAGATAAATAGGGAGAAATGATAAAACTATACGATAAAGAGCATTTTAGAGGAGTCATTCAGCTACTATGAGAAGTCTTTGACGAACTGGTGCACGCAACCAAGTCTTAACTGTTATTTCGTAGAAGCAGGTAATAAATAAAGGCTTGGAAATATGTTCAAAGCGACAACAGACATAAACCTAGGCCGTAAAGGTGCCTTAGAGCGTTATTTCAGGCAAATGTAACTATTTCAAAGTAAATCCCTGAACAAGCTTTTTCATAGAATTAAAGTGACAAACGGGCACACAGTCCACTTGATGGTAAGTAGATGCTGTGGCCTATAGACAATAAATTTATCCTCAATTAAGAATGAAATATCTGCACTTGAGTAGTGGTCACCCGTTAGGACTAAGATGGAAGGCCACTTTTCCAGTAAAAAGTGTCTCCGGTCCTCTAACCTCACCATGAGAAGCACAGCGGCATGAAACTGTTATTATGCGCTGGTATTCTGTGAGGGCGTGGTGCTACCCCGGTGGAGCCGACCCTTTCGCGCTACAACAATAATATAGCTGCAGCGTGGCTCTACCACGCATGAAATATAGCTAGTCGCTAGTGTTACGTTACTTATAAAATCAATCTACATAAAATTACTAATATAATTTTATTTGGTTAGTGTGCGCGCGTGTGTGTGTGTGTGTGTGTGTGTGTGTGTCAGCTCAGCAAATCAGAAATTATTTCAAGCCAAATTTTTAAGTTATCTATTAGAATTTAAATTTAAATAGGTATTTAAAATTTGAGTGTCCTTTGTCAAGTAATATTTTATAGTAACTTTTCTGTGTCAGCGTAGCTGAGTTCCGAACCGTTCAAACACACACAATAATTTCATCAGAATCGGTCGAGCCGTTTTCGTGTTTTGCAAGACTAACCACACGGCAATCGATTTTTATTATATAGACTAGCAAACCGCCCCGGCATCGCGCGGGTGTTTTCTGGATTTCAACAGCGCCACCTATTAGGTCTAATTGTGAATCTAAAGTGTTCTCTAATCAACTTAACCACACACACACACACACACACACACAAAATTTCATCAAATTCGGTTCATCAGCCGTTTAGGAGGAGTTCAGTCGCATACACACGGACAGAAGAATTATACATATATAAAGATTTCATTAAAAAATATACCTTAACAAAAAGTTAAAAATAGGAAAACATACTCATTTACATCGACATAAATATCGAACCGAACCGGGACGGTACCACGACCTCACAGAAAACCAGCTTAAAGTAGAGGTTTACCTCTGCGTTCCGCTTGGTAAGTGCAGGTGGCCGGAGGCCCTTTTTACTGGAAATGAGGCATTCCATATTAATCCTCACGGGTGACAACGCATCTACATTTTGATTTGTAATAGAGGATAGATGTAGATGTCTATGGGCCGCAGCAACCACTTACCATCAGGTGGACTGTGTGCTCGTTTGTCACCCTTATCCTATAAAAAAAATTAACTTATCTCTCAGAATAAATATGTCTATTAAAAATATAATTCAAAGCTCTTAGTTTAGTATCTTGTTCAGTATCAGTGCTGAATATTGAACGTGCATGGCGTCGCCCTCTCGGAGGGCGTTGCTCTCTCTCGGGTTACAAGTTCAAGCGGCTAAAGCTGACGCGGTGGAAACTGACTCCTTGTTACTCTTCATGTAACACTTATACGTGGCAGGCGTCACGATCGAATTAATTATGACTCACATTAGAGATTTAGATAAAGCGCTTAAAACATAATAGGTACATTATACATATTATTTATTAAGTACCTAATTTTTTATAGATTAAGGGTGATAAACGAGCATACATTCCACCTAATGGTAAGTGGTTGCTGTGACCCATAGACATATACATCTATCTTTGATTACGAATCAAAAAGCAGATGCGTTGTCACCCGTGAGGACTAAGAAGGAATGCCTCGTTTCCAGTGAAAAGGGTCTCCAGTTATCTACATTCACTATAGGAAACACAGCAGTATTATCCTGCTATTTTACGCTGGTATTCTGTGAGAGCGTAGGCCTTCCCCGGTCGAGCCGACTCATTCGTGCTACAACTCGTCGCCTACGCCGCAAAGGGGCGAACCTCATACAAACTGTCAAAAATGAGTAAAATATACAAAATTGCTCCGTTGTTCGATATCTATGTCGTCTCAATCGGGCTAAGCTTTAAGTATAATAACGAATTTAAAGTGATGGCGTATGTCAAAAACACTTCGAGTGAGATTTTACGATATAAGACGAAGCTCAAATTAGTAACAAAAGAGGTCCTAACTAAGCACGCGCCTTTTTGTTGCGGCGTTTGTGTATCAATACTTTTTGACCATATTTTTTATGTCTGAAAATTTTGTTCGTATTGTTTTGGTTAATTGTTTTGGTCAGGAATCATGCGTCAATATAACTGAAGTGGTCATGTAGCAAGTCTCAAACTCAGAGATTATTACATGGTAGAGTCACGCTGCAGCTATATTATGACTGCAGCACGAATTGGCCTCACAGCATACTAGAGTAAAATATCAGCTTAACAGTGCTTGCTGTGTTTCATACGGTGAGTAAGTAACCGGAAGTTTACTGGAAACGAGACATTCCATCTTAATCATCATCATCTTTGGGCGTGACAACACATCTGTGTTTTAATTCGTGACTGTGGATAGATGTAGACGTATATGGGTCACAGCTCACAGCATCGATTTACCATCAGGTGGATTGTTATTGATTCACGTGGCCCGAAATAGAAAGTAGACTTAGGTGGACAGAAATTGCCATAGATGTTTCTATCTTCTTAAATAAGCATGACGTAGAGACTACTAAATCAATCAGCTTCAGCTTGTATGGTAACCAATGTGTAGTACGAAATCAAAAAAATCTATGGTCGCTTTTGTTTAACTATACTGTATCGATAATGTGACACATTTGCAAAACGTCACCCTTAGGCCTCATGCCCAGGACACGGTTTTAAAACCTGTCTCGTGGGCATGAGGTCTTAGATTACTTGCTCCAAACCACGGTCAGAATGAAGGTGACTCTGCGCATAGTGCCATAAGTCAGTCCATCTCAGTGGTATCTCATTATCCAAATGGCAAGATCTTCACCGCCGTACATTGTTCAACCATTACAATACTTTGAATTTAAATACTACAAAGAGTTATCTCAAAATGAAAAGATACTAAGTCTAC